AAGAACTTTTAACATTTTGCCACAATTTAATTCTTCGTATTGTTAGCCAACACTGGGCAGCTTGTACATAATTGAATAAATAGAGTTGTTTAAACATTTGTTTAACAACAAGTGAAAACTTGGAATGGTCAATTCTTTCATTGGGGTGTGTGTCTGTGAGCCAGACTAGCTTCGAAGAATTCCACTCCTCATAGGTGACCCTGGACACTACCACCAATGAAATATCAGATCAAACCAAGCCTTTATAGTAGTGAGGTATTGAAAATCGAACTGGTGTATTTAAGTGTTTTAAGTGCCTTTTTTCTGAATTAGTGTAAAAATGTTCTTAAGCCTGCCTAAAAGTGAAATATAATGCCATAAAAAAAGACAGATATCTGGCTATGATATTCCAAGGATTAACTAAGTACACAGACACCTGATCTTTACAATAACAAGAGATTCATGGACCTAGTATATAGAAAGTCTGGTGTAGTGATATATTACAGGTGAAGAAAAGAAATGGTGTGAAGTTAAAGCAAATATAAATGCTTCATTTACTGGAAAAACAAAAGATCAGCCAATCAATCAGGTTGTAGTTAAAATTAATTATATTAAAATAAAAATGAAATAAAAAACTGTTCTTAAGATAAGGAAATTAAAACCAATATTTCTCTAACAACTGAAACTGATCAACTGATTAAAGTGAGAGAAAAAGACACACACGTGATCAGCAACTAAATAGATTTAAATGACTACATTGCATCTTGGTTTCTTCAATATGGGAAACAAATTTATTTATGAATGCTAAAACTGCAAGCTGCTCTTGCATTCTGCATTCTCTGTAGTTGACTGATCATAACATTATATCATGAATGGCTGGAAATATCTCTGCTCCGTGTCACAGTTGTAGTCTCAGACATAGGGTAATGTAGAATGCCATACAATCATCACTGAAGAAATGGCTAGTTTCTGTATGAATCCTGCTAATTAGAATACCTAGGGTTGAATTGGCACAAATTTTGATCTTATTTATTATGTTTCAAATTATAACTTCAAAAAGTTTAGAAAGATAAAATATATTATAAGAGGAAGATATATGTGATGCTTACATACCATCTGGCTATATTCTGTGGACATATATCAACCTAGATTTTTGTGTACTTATGTTGAGAAGGTACAAACATGTCCACTTGTATGTGTGTGTATGTGTGCAATATAACAAGAAATTGATCAAGTGTTATTGTGTAAATTTCAGCAAGAAGATCTGTTAGCCTTTGGTAAGGTGGTGCTAGCTCTAGCCTGCAACTCCTTAGTAGCTGTACAACGGGAAAATTTACAGGCCTCCATGGAGCTTGTTTCAAGAAACTACTCTGCTGATCTCAGAAACCTGCTAATGTTTGTTCACTTTCTTTCTTGCAATGTTTCTGGAATAGCTAGTAGTTTGTATGTATGGTTTAAGCCACGTTTCGTGTAAACTTCCCACTGTGTTTTGGAGGACTGTTAGTAGCAACATTTTCAGTTATATTTTCCTATAGTTTTAGTTTTTTCAGCATTTTTTTATCCTTTCCCATCTGCTAAGAGCTAATGTAATTTTAAGCACTGTTCTTAAATTGTATCATTCATATTTTGTTTGTTTAGCAATAATACATCATAAAGAAGTTTACTCATTACTGGAAGTGAATTGAAGGAAAGTTTTTCTCCAGTTATATGAATATCATTATTTCTCTTACAACTTATAGAAACTATAAAATCTGTTAGTGTGATCTTTAATTATTACTTTAAAAAATTATATACTAGACAAGTTTTTGAAAAATTTTGTGATATTTCACATGAAACTTTAAATAATTAAATAGGTAAATTTTAATTTGGCTACATTGATTTTTTGTAAGATGGTTGGATTACAATACAGGAAATAATATAATATAACTTAGAGTTAAAAATGTACCTAGTTGTTTTAGTAGTGAGAACACGCTGAAATAAAAAAAAATCCCCTTGATTTGTTATTAATTTTGTAAATTTCTTGCCCTAGTAGTAAATGTCTATTGGAAGCTGCTTTTGAAATGCATTATGGCCTTAAATGTGTAGAAAAAAAATCATATGGCACCTTTATATAAAGAACTCCTTTAATTTAAAAACATCAGAACCCTCAGTTAGAGGTGTGTAAGCAAGTTAAAACAAATATATAATACATATAAAGTATCATATAGAAACACATTACAGTTTTATCAGACTTGGTATATATTCTGTTCAACTTCATAATGCAACATCTAAATTATTTTGAATTTTCAAACAACATAAAACACCATACAAATACTGAATTCCAATTAAGTGCTGCCCTCTCTGCTATGCTAACATTCTTGCTTGCCACTAGCCTTGAAGCTCCAATCTAATCTCATGCATTTCCATGTGATATTGCCGTGTTGTTACATGAAAATGAGCATGCAACAACCTACCACCAACAGGAGTGTGCCTCCTAGTGCAGCTGGCTCCCTCTATACTGATTGTTCAGTCATTCTACCTAAATGAAGAAGACAGACCAATATTCTGTCAAAACATGTAGTATGTTCCCCCAAAAAATAAATCACTTTATTATGCTTATAAATTTTTGTTTGCCAACTTATTCCTGTTGCCTATTCCATGTGTTTTGTTAAGTATTAAACAAGGGTTAATTAAAGTTAGATTAGTAGTGGTAGGCACACCTCACAGTATGTTGAATATATTCTTTTTATTACATTTAACATGATTTTAGTTAAATTAGAGTGCCAATATTCTAGCTATTTGTTGTGTGATTCAGGTATTAATTTAGTGTCTTCGTAAACATTAGTTTTCTTTGCTGTCGGTACTGTCTGGTTACTCAACTATAGCTAAATAGTAATACTTTATCTCAGATGTTAGGCTCCTCTATTGGAGCTGTTTAATGGACTTTCATTGGTCACAAGGCATTGTTAGGGAGGACTGTGTATAAGTTTTGTTTATACATGGTTGTACAGATTTTCAATAAACATTAAAGCTACAACAGTACTTGAAGCTAACAACTAGTTGTTTGTTTTCTGTAAGTAAAGTGTTCTTTATTCTTTCTTTAATGTTGCTTGGATTAACAGTATTGGTTAAAATGTTTAATAGATCTATTTTAAAAGTTGTTTATTTTGTATTATCTTGTTTTTGTTATAAAGATTATTTTTCATTGATAGTTTGGTATATGGATTTAGAACTAACCTAAACCTCCTAAACTAGCTGAACCTCGCAAGATATTATTGGGTTTATGACCAAAAATATGTCGTTAAAAGTGAAGATACCCATCTGATAAAAAAATGCACTGTAATCTTTAAGTAAGAACATAGGAACAGTATATTTAATTAGCTGTACTCAATTACCATGTTGATTTGCTATGATCAGTAGTGTTAAAATTAACTTTTATAAAAAAGTAAGTAATTTGTCAAGAAGATAAATTGTAAAAAAGTTTAAATTTGCTTGATCACCTTGTGTTACCTTAATAATACTGGAAGATGTATCATGCATATTTTCAACTTATGGTTTTATTGTACTTTGGTGATTTGTTTTTAAATAATGTTAACTGTCTTGAAGAATAGTAAGTAGTTATGAGCTCCTGTAGTGTTTCTTCTAGCTGATGCTGAAGGTTGCTTCTGAAGTTACATTTATTAAAGTTGTTAGTTCAGCTAATAACAAAAATTATTTTTAATTTGTCGTATTTGTTTTCAAACCAAACTTATTTGGGCTACACATTTTTTTTTTTCATTCTAAAGAGTATCTGTAGCTAGTCTCTATAATCCTCAACTAAGATGTACTTGCAAAAGTTATGTGTTTATTTTTGTGAGTTTCTGTTTTCTATGTCTAGCAAAATGTTAAGGTACAAATGAAACTTTTCAAACATTGTTGTGATGATTTTTTCCTCTGTTCTGATGAAGTAACAAACTGGTAATTTCTTATATTGCATGAATATATAACCTTAATAAATTAAGCTGTCATTATTACATTAAATTCTTAGTAATATGTTCATTACTCAGATTCAATTCTCATAAATATGTTTAGGTCAAATTTTTGAAGGCACCATGAACATTCTGTGTTAGTAAATTATGTATAGTGAGATAGAATGTGTAAGAGTGTCCCAGTGTCAAATCAAGATGATATGAGTGTAATACTATGTTTATAAGATATTTATTTTTCCTTGTACATATGTGATAGTCTGTATTATGTAGTGTTATGCAATTTTTGTATTAGGATGTATGGTGTTCATATTTTTACTTGACCTCTAGTGGTTAGTATGCTTGGACTGTAAATCTGTGGGGTTCATAGTCAGGGCCCATTGTTGAAAAAACAGTTTTCCACTTTGAGGCCATAGATTTGCTATGAGATTGAAGGTCAAGTTGCAATAACAAAGGTAGCAGAGCTATACATTTCAGCCAGTGGTTCAGTAGATGCTATCCAGTGTTAGTGTTTTGCTGAGCATCCAAGTACACAAGGTTATTGGTACCAACCATCAGATCAGCAAGTCTGGGATGACCAGCAACAAGTTGTGGATGCTGTTGCAAATGCCAAAGTGGTCAAATTCCATTAGTCGGTCAGACAAGAGTAGTTGATGGTGGATGCTTTTGACTAGCAGCCTTTTCTCTAGTCTGTCAGTTCAAAAGTTAGGGATGACTATGCACAGATAGTCCTTTGTGTAGCTTGTGTGAAACTTTTGAAACAGAAAAAAACATTTTAGTTGAATGTAACAAAGTCAGTGTATTACTTTGCATTGCACGTAAAATAAAGAGATCATTTAATTTGCTAAAGAGCTGTGTACATGATCAGTGTTAAAGTATGTTAAAATATAAGAAAACTTATGGAAGTAAAAATTAACCATCACTGTACTTATAATGTGTAGTTATTTGTATAATTCTTTATTTAGTTTACATTATTTGTGATTATTATATAGCTTAAGCTTAACAATTCATGAAAAAATTTTACAGGTACCTGCTTTCAAGCCAGACACGTGCACGAAGCATTAATGAAATCATGCCAATGATTGGTGCTAGATTCTACACTCAGCTTGATGCGGCACAGATGAGAAGTGATGTAATAGAAAATGAACTAGCAAAAGTAGGTTTAAACTCTGGATACACCTATAGGAAGGAAATGTAATTTCAAGCTGGACTTAAAGCTAAATTGCATTTTATATCAACCGTTTTAAGGAAATAAACCAGGTAGGGAAAAGTATAAAAAGAAATTAGAAAAAATCAATACAAACTATCTGGGATGCAGTAGGAAAACTGTGAATGAAATTATTTTAATGCCAGTTTTTAGATATGATGAATGTTGTGGTATGAAGTTGATCCAGGGTTTGTATAGGTGCTTGAAAACCTGGAAAGTCCTGAAAAATGACTTTATTCAATTATGGAATACTTTGGAAAACTGACATTTTATTATATGTTCATGGAAAGTCGGAAATTTGTTTTAATTGGGTACATTTTTTTTTTAATTTACTCGTAATTCCCATTTTTAAGCCCCATACCCTACAAATATCGGATACCATCTAACTTGATTTGGGGCACTTTTCGTGTTTTTGGAACTGATTTATAGCCTTGTTAATCGAGTGTAGCAGAATGTATGTTCTGTGCTTGTGAGAATTAGTGTGTGACATTGCAGTTGCTGGTTAGTAAAGATTTAGATAGTTGTATGTTTAGTTCTTGAGTGCTGTTGTCAAAATGTTTTAAATTCAGTCAAAAATACCAAGTGCCATTTTAATAATAGATGACCAGAGATTGCATAAATCTGCAAAATTCTGCATTACAAACACAGGAAATTTTAATAAAGTGTTGAAAAATAACAGTAGTGTGTTTCTGAAATGCAGATGTAATAAGATCTACTGGATTTTTTTAGCCATTGCATAGCGATTCATAGAATGGCCCTGAGTTGTTTTTGTCTTTTTTTCAAGTACAGACTTATATGTAATAGCTCCATCATCTCTTGACCAATTTCAGATCTAATTACAATTTTGGACTCAGAAGGTCAAACCCTTTCAATTGATGTATTTGATCATGTCCAAGATCTCATAGATTAATTTACTCTAATCCTGCCTAAAAGAATTCCAATTTGAGGATAGGCTGGAAGAGATCCTGATGAGTAATAAAATCAAATTGGGTTTACATGCGATCCACACTTGGTATTGCTGGGGTACAAAAATATAGTTAATAAAAAGGGGAAAAAAGTCTCATAGATTAATTTACTCTAATCCTGCCTAAAAGAATTTCAAGTGCCATGGCCATTGAGGATCCCCTCTTGTTTATTAATGTAACATGTAAGATTTTCCAGACATCTTAAAAAAAACCCTGATTCATATATTCAAAAGCCAAAAAATTGAAACCTGATGGCAAACATACTTGACATTTTAGCTGTGGGGTCATTATAATGTGATGTTCAGGAATATTATTTGTTGATCAGCAGTTCAAAATTAAGGATGGTGGCAGGTAGTCTTAGTAGCTTTGTCATAAACAAATAAATTTTCTAGTTTGCTTTTTGTTCATTCCCTAAAGGTTTTCAGACTTTGTAAGATAGTTGTAATTATCAAAAGTCTTACTTTATGAAATAAATTAATATTATTGTAATTTTATGTTTGATCTTAAATTTTATCTACTTGTTGAATAGCCAAGATACTAGGTTTTTACTTAAACTAAGTATACATTCGTCTCATGAATAAAAATAGGTTAAGGTTATTTGAATGTTTTTATTTAACTCTTTCAGCACGGGCTTGGTCCCTGGGACTGACCTCGTAACCATTTTGTGCTTGTTATAGTTTTCATGCTATAACTTTTAAATTAGTAAGCGTATGTTAATGAAATTTGGTACATTATCAGTACATTACAATACTTTCATACGCAAAATATGATAATTTTTTATTAATTATTAAGGTTTGTAAAGCAATGTTTAACTCGTGCTTTTTTTTTCTTTTCGCATGTTGCCTATCTAGCATGCAAAGTAATTTTCATTTTAAGATTAAAAATACTTTTATGCATCAGAAAATTTTCAAATTTCACATGCAAAAACTTTATAATGTCCAGATAATTATCAAATGTTTCTTAAGAAAAAACTTTATACTTTATTTGTTATTTTCAGTAATTTATCTGTATGAGTTTGGTAGATTTCATCAATCTCGTAAACACCATAAAAGTTAGGAAATAAATATAAATTATGCCTCTTTTATTCTAAAATGAATACAAATTATAACAGAAAAATAAATGTTTAGACTAAATAGCTTAAATCTCATAACATTATACATTTATATATATTTCTTATTTTTATTATATTGACCTTTCAGTCATGCCTGGCTAACAGTACAGAAGTTACAATGATGCAGCACACGTGCACTCATGTTACCATATCAAATAACATAAAATTGACCTTTAGACTTTACAAAGTAACCTGTCTTGGCTGTATGTAGATTATTGCTATTTAGAAATAAGTTCTTAAACTTATTTTTCTTAAAACATAGAACAGTAACTAAAGAAGTAAAGCAAACAATTATCTCTTCCAGTTACTACCTTTGTACTTGGTTGTTGTTTGACATAGGTTACTAAACCTTTAAAAATTTTGCACGTGGAGGATATAAAACAATAATTTTTTTAGGTTTTATATACACATTTGAATAACTTAAAAATCATAAATTACTACATCAGTACCATAGAATTCCACTATAATTTATCAAATTTAGTAACTAAACTGTATTTGGGTCTAAACAAATATGAAATTTCGAGTAGACTAAAGACACAATCTACCTCCTTGATGGCATCCCAACAAATAAAAATGGCTGAGAAAGCCACTAAGGGATATTCTGGGCTTTGTTTGGTTATTCACATGTCCTATATTGAAGTAAGTGTATATAAGGGAGCGATTCCAAAAATGGAGAGGTGAGTGGGGCCACTGTGTTTGATTCAGTACATGAGGAATATCTCAGCAAATAGAAAAGATACGAGGTTCTTATTTTATATTCTAGCTTGTCAATATCGGTAATTTGTATAATACTAAAATTTGAATTATAATCTCTAGTCTGATACCAAACTTATTGACATAAATTCATGAAATAGTAGTTCAATAAAAATGATGACATGGCTTTTGACCCGTGACCTCTCTGGAGAGGGTTAATACAGAAAGAAACTACAAAGTTGTAATATTAATCTTATGTTTTAAGGTGGTACTTCAGTCTGTAAATTTCTTTTTTAGGTTAGTAGATCCATGTTTAAATGATATTAAAACAAGATTCCCTTGGTTGGTTACAAAGTTTTTGAGTAACTGCATAGTTATAAGTACAATATTTAAGGATCCGTCATTGCATAAACACTTATGAACATGTAAAGCAATAATACATTGTTTGGAATAATAAAAATATCCACAGTTGTTATTTTTAATCATAACTTTTAGAACTATTGGAATAACATGAACAGAAATGTGAACACAGTATTTCTGAAATAGGTGAATGATAAGTGAATAAATCTTTCATTGTTTTTAAATGTTCAGCAATGCATGAGCTTTAACATATAGCTTTTGGAGATATTGAAAAATCTTCTTAAGTTTGGCATTGAGGCAGAAGAACTCAAATTTACACAATGTTATGATATAAATGCAATTACAGAGGCCAACATTTGCAGGTAAATGCAACATATCTTTGCCATGCAATCCCAACATAGCCAGTTTTGACACCAGTAAAATTGTGAAAAACACAGAAAAATCAAAAACTGTCTATATTACTGTTTGGGACATGCAAGAGGGTATATTTGTACCAAATCCTATATAAGTTGGTTGATGGGTTGGGTGAATAGTTCACAAGAATCTCCAATTGTGCTTTTCTTGCTGAAAAATTGAGCAAAAACACAAATATTACAAAATTGTCTATCTTTTTGGGACCTGTAAGAAAGTATCTTTGTTCCAAATCCATGAAAATTGGCTGAAATATAGCAAAGTAATTGCCAAAAATTGTGAAATTATGCTTTTTGTGGGATCCTGAACCCACTATAGTTACTAAAAATGCGGAAGTCTAACATTTTTTTTTTCAGTGTGTGTTGCTTGTAGAAAAATATCTTTGTACCAAATTCCATGTAAATTGGTCAAAACAAGGCTAAGTAATTGACCAAGAACCCCTAAAATTATAGATTTATTTAACTTTTTGACTCTTTCCTTAAAATGACCAAAAATGGGCATATCATATATTTTTGTATGTATAAGTATAGAACCTGTAAAAAATATCTGTGTACCAAATCCCATATAAATTAGCCAAAATATGGTGGAGTAATTGTCAAAAAACCCTAAAATTATACTTATTGTGGCATCTTGACCCCCCTCCCCCCTTATAATTATTAAAAATGGGCAAGTATACCATTCTTTGTTTGTCAATGTGAGACCTGTAGAAAAGTATCTTTGTACCAAATCCCATGTACATTGGTCAATATATGGCTGAGCAATTGACCAAAACCCCCCAAATTATGCTTTTTTGTGAGCTCTGACCCCCATAAAAAGACTCAGAATGAGCAAATCCAACTGTTCTATTGTATGTCAATGTGTTGGGTGCATGAAAATTTTTATCTTAACTGGTGTAAATATCACCATACAAGAGCCAAAGTATACATTTTTGGGTTCTTTTACCTTTGACCACATAAAATTCTTTAAAAGGCTGAAGTAAAAAAAATAAAAAGGTGTCCGGGTGTATTGGACCAAGGTATAACTCTACCAACTTTCAAGTCAATCTCCTGAGAAATGATAAATGGTGATCAATTGAAACGTGTTTGGAAGAATAAAGAAAGAAAAAGAAGAAACAATAGAAAAACAGTATGTATCTCTGCAGAGACATAATAAAATCACTGTAAAAATACAAAATTGGCATAACCAGTCCAAAGTCTACACTAGAATTTAACTTTCTTTTTAGAGCTATATATAGATACCTACATTTTAAAGGAAACAAAATGTATGATCTGGACTTTATTCAAAGTGATTTAGTCAAACTTTTACAACCAGCTTCATGATGTATCACTCTTCAAGAGAAGAGCAAAGTTAAGACTAAAATAAAACATTGAAAATACAAATAAATAAATTAGTATGAAGGTAAAAATAAAGCTATCTGTAACAATAAATAAACTAGGAACTAAAATTTGAAACTAAGCTCACATTACAACATTAAATCCTGAAGTTGTTGCAATATCAGTTTTATTCACTTTTTCAAATTTATGGAATTTGTTAAGATTATCTCTTCTGTGGTTTAATTATCTACTTGTTATTTAAAGAGACTGTAAAGAAGTTTAACGTCATTTCTCTTTTCTCCTACAGATTCATGAAAAGAAGTTTTCTTAAATTACAAGATTTTCGTTTAATACATTCATGAAAATGGTTTCATGCTTGAAAAGGACTAACTACAGAATTATGTACATGATATTTATGCAAGTTTATATATAATATTATATTTCCAGTTTCCCACCATAAATCTCATGATGTATGACAATTTTAAGGACATATATACAGTATTTTTGTAGTTTATAATATACTGTGTACATAGAAGAATTTCACTGTTAGAAACATAAATACACTATCCTTCTTTATTGGAATCTTGTTGACACAAGTTACAGTTATCTTGTTTACAGGTTCTGGTATGGCCTGGTAGTTAGGATGTTTCACTCACAATTTGCAAGTTGTGGGTCACGGGATTGAAACCCATTGCCGAACATGCTTGCCCTTTTAGCCATGGAGGTATTATTATGTGACAGTCAATCCTACTATTTGTTTGGAAACTAGTAGCCCCAGATTTGGTAGTTGGGAAGTTCACTAGCTGCCTTCTATCTAGTCTTATCACTTCAAATTTAGGTAGCTTTTTGTGAAAATTCAACAGGCAAGCCTTGTTTACATTAAAGATTTCTTTCATTGATTCTACAGATGATTTTTAAACTGAGTTGTTATATAAAGTTTTTAGGTTTTTTGAGATGTGGTAATTTTACATGTAGAGAAGTTTTTTTTTCAATTGAGTCCATAATTACTTTAAGTCACTGTTCAGTATATTTTAAATTTACATTCTTACAGGAAATAATGGATAATAACAAAAGAAAGAATAGATTTCCTTATTTATCTTTCTTCTTTAAACCTTTCAGCTATTCTAAATCTCTAGTTAATTGTGTTTTCAACGTAATGACATTTTATTAAATAATTTCTTAACTCTATGAATTTCCTCTGATGTATGACACATACGTTACAAAACCAGTTCTAAATGTTATATTAAACACTTTGATTAATATTCAATTGAAACTCAGACTTCTTGTCTCCCATACATTGCATACTTCACTGGAATGACCTGAATTTTGTTTATATAAAACTTTTGTGTGTGTATTATGACAAGCCTGATATATTTTCTTCTACTGAGATAGTTTTATAATTTTAAAAGTCAGTATTTTGTAGTTTATCTTGTTCTTTTAGATGGTTTATGCATTAGGTTTACATCTGGTGTATCTCATTACTTTCACATCATTACGTATGCTCTTCATGAAGCAGAAGTATTATTAGAAATTACTTTTTAGATGAATTATGGTCTGAAACTGAATTGATATAATGAAATATAACACCAAAGGTATTTATTATATAAATATTAATTTAGTTTTAAACATTTTTTAATCTATTAGGATGTTGAAAATGGAAGATTACTTCGATTGCTCATAAAACTAGGAACCATCAACGAACGACCTGAGTATGAAATGTTATAATCTAATTTTACAATAAATTAGAACTAGTATTATGAAATTGGCTAAAATTTTACCCTGATATTTTTGGAATTTTCTGAATCTCATCTTTGTATTTTCTTTAACACTTTTAAATAATTTACATGTATTACTTTTTGTTTTTTTCAAGCTTGGATATGTATATTTCTTAATGTTATTTTTGGTTGCAACTTTAACCATTATTTATTATCTAATAAGCCACAAAATAAATGAAAGTACAATAATTTCTTTTTCTTCAAGTTTATTATTTGTAGCAGTTTCTCAAACTTTTTTGTTTTATCTACAATTCTTTGCTACTGCTTCCTTTGCATAATCATGCAACTTTTTTGCAAACCACTTGAAAGAAGCTTGCAGACCACAGATTGAGAACCACTGATCTATAAGATAAACATCATAGGAAGCTTGTAAACATTATTATCAATGAACATTAACTTTCAACTTCTAAGTTTCACACAATTTGGTCATCATTTGTTTTGTCTGTGCCTAATGACAATTGGATTGACTTTCTTTTTGTCCCAATTATATAATTGTTTAGGCAAATATCCAGACAAGGGAGTAGGCATTCTGTCATTACTTGAGCTTAACTTTAATTTTATGTTTAACCCTCTTGCTATGGGCTTGGTGGATTACATTGACATTGTGACAGTTAGAGTTTCTGTACAATAACTTTTAATATGTTTTGTGTATCTTCACTTTATAAATCTTTTGTAGACCGAAATATCAGAATTTTGAAGGAAATATTTTTATTAAAAATTTGTCTATAAGTATATGGAGTCGGAGAGTTGACTGCTCTGAGTGTGAAGTGATTTTCATGTTAAGATTAAAAATACTTTTCTTCCTCTGAAAATTTTCAAATTTCATTTCCATAATCTATGAAACCTGCCATTTGTGTAGCATTCTTCTTGTCACATTCCTGTTGCCATTCCACTATATCTGTCTATCACTAAAAATTTGGCAGGTCTTTTATTGTTGGTCCATCTGCCACACCCTTCTTCCTGGCTGTCCTACTGTGAACCACCTTTCTGCTCTTTTTACCTGGCTGTTCGGCCATGGTTTTTTCATCTTCACCATTGCTGTTTATCAGGTGGCCTTGTTCACTACAGTTTACATTTCCCAGTACCACAGTTTTTTCTTTCCTTGTCCTCACCACTCTTTTCTGCTCCTTCATTCTTTATTGACCTTCTCACTGGACTCCCATGCCTGTTGAAGACCTTAATGTGGGTTTGCATGCCCTTATGTGTGCTTTGTTGTGGCTGTTAGCTTCTTGTTCTTTGTACCACCATGCTTTTTGCACCTTCTTCCACAGCACTTGTATACTTCACTACCTGGACTGAAATATCTTTTCTAAGACTTCTGCCACTCAGGAAAATATCTGCACTTCTCTCCTACCTCCCTTCTTTCTATCTCTCACCTATGTGGTTGTCCAATCTGCATCAGCTTCTATGTTCTGCTCAGTGTTACTTATCAGACTTTTATCTTTTGAGGTTCTTACCACAGGACTTCTCTTTTTGCAGAAACCTATTTCCTTCTATCCCTATGGGATGGGCACATCACTTCCTCTTGTTGGTATATTTTTCTCTGGATGTTTGCAGGCTATTTCACATTTCTTAGAATTATCACTTGTCTCACTCTCTTGTTTCCCACCTTCACTGGCCTTTGGATTAGATCCTCCAGGCAGGCATGTAGATAACTTCCCACATGTTCATCACTCATTGTCCTCATATTCTAACTGTTTTATCTCCTGCAGGATTTTGATTTCCCCCAGTTGCCAATTTTTGATCAATCCACTTTCATTGAGATAGGTGTGTTTTACTTTCTCTCCCCTCCATCAATCAGTATTCTGCCAGATGGCCGGTGTTTCCTCTTAGGGTATGCTTATTCCCAAAATCTGCATCATGGATAATGGAAAGTGTTCAACATATCTGCCTTGACTGTACCAGTGCCCACTGCAAGATGGGGTGTTCTGCAAGACCACTTGAGGTATTCTCGTCGTATAGACATTTACTCAATTGTATGACTCAGACCATACCAATTCCATGAACAAACATCGAAAAAGGCAGCACCAGGGGAGTAACTGCCCATTTCTTGGGCTTCCATTTGCTGGCTTTTAACCCTTTAAACATGAGTGGATGAGATTACCATCTGCTCAATTAGGGAAGAATATTTATGCAATAAAAATATGGTAATTCTGTGCATTACTCACAAAACCTTATAAGATCTTGTTAAAGTTTATAATATTTCTTACACAAATTATGCTAATTATATTTTTCAAATAAAATGTTATTTATCTATAGTAGTAGTTTGCACTCAGACTGTTAAAATAGTTTGAGTGCAAGGTGCTTTTCATATTACCGTGGAGATTCCTTACCAATTGGACTTAGCACAATACATTGAGATGTAGGGCAATGGTAACACTATCAATGTAGTATAGGTCACCCCTCAAATAAATACTGTGCCCTTCTCTTATAGTCAGAGTATGTCCAGCAGAATAGAGGTGAGCATACATCATACAATCTAATCACCCCC